TGCAACCCAGTTGGTTAGGTCCGACACAACTCTCAACTTGCGACAATAAATGGAGTGAAAATAAATAAACATATATAACGCACCACGCCGGAAACGTTATGATACCCGAGACTAGTTGAACGCGGAAATGTTCATAAAAAAATCGCGTTTTTATACCTTGATCAGTTATTTTTGCCGGCGAATCACAATTTAACCTGCACACGAACGATTCGTTTCTTAGCGCATAATTTGGTTACTTACGCTGTATCTGACATCAGTTAGGCAATAACAATTCAATCACTGTCATGTTCCATGCCACAATAAGCATATCGCATATTGGCATACCAAACGGCAGATATAATGTGTTTGTAGCTTTATCTCGATTATCACTGCGCATTAGGCTACATTTTAGCCGTCAACGTATGATAAAATCTTGCTTGCTACATAATAATGGTGCTGTTTCTAATACCAAACGTGGTCGGGTATTTTTTTTCAATGTAAAGAAGTGTTTCGTGTATATACACATTCTGTTGTTGTCATACTAGCAAACTAAGATAATTTTGTGGAAAGCACTTGGTAGATTTTAATAATACAATAATAGCAATAATAATACAGTTTCCGCAGTAATCTGTATTAAAAGTCAATGAAAGGATTGTCATGTGACGTCTATATCAAAGTTAAAGCGGGAGGATCGTCACCTGCGCACGCGCGGAAATCGAGTCCTAAGCGACAATTAACACACGCTAACAACGCAATGGCTCATGGGTAGACGCTTGTTTGTAAACAATGATACGCTATGACCATCTGAGACATGGGCAGGTGACGATTCCCCCGCTTTAAAATAACATCACATAATTCTCAGTAACTCGAATACAAAACGCGTGCGTCTTTGGAACGTTTTCTATGTGTTTCGCGCATTGCATAACGGGAAAAGGTCGACATAGTCGACATTTGCATAACTCATGCGAAGAACTGATCGACGTTCTTTCGAGTATGTTTTATCAAGTATCAATTTGCAAGAAGTTGTCAAAATATGTTGAAATATTTGAGTAAGTTCAAATGTCAATCTTATTATAACTTAGATTCTTATTATAACTTAATTCCACTCGGTTTAGTTTAACGGATTTGAAGTGGACAGTAAAATAAATGGTATGATCTTTAATTGGTCCCATAACTGAACCAACACACACAAAAAAAAGAATGCCGAATGAAAAATATATTTTTCTGGCAAAAATAATATTTTTATGAGCAAAAAGGTCCTATTTCAAATTTTCGGCCGAACGAGGGTAGTACGAGTTGTATGTTTTGTGGTTTAATATATTGGCCAACCAGTATTCCATATATTTTGATGAGTTGATGTGTTCAAGCGATGTGTAAAATATACAACATAAGTTTGAATAGAGATGACACATTTAACGTCAAAAAGACGTTGACTACTGCATTTCTATAATTTTATTAGGAGCAGTGAAAATCAACAACACACAGAATGGCAGACATGACATGACGGTTCATTGCATTTCATTTTGCCATTCAGCGCAAAATATCGTGCGCTATGCGTAGTTCGTACTGTAGAGCACAATTTACTGCCGAATCGAACAGACGCGCTGTATTCGAGGGTACTGAGAATTACATCGATTCGAATACTAGAGATATCGGAGCAGACACTATACCACGATTGGGATTGAATAACCAATACAGATATATTCATATTCAATATATGAATATTCTTATTTGCCAATAGCTATTGGACATTATACTCATCTTGCTCATGTGACCCATTGTTCTGGCCTTAGTTTATTTTAGAAAATCCACGCATGACTCGTTGATTTTTTTACGCTAATTCTAACCAGTGCATTGTAAACAATCATTGTCTTATTTACGTAAGTATGGCATCTTTTGTATGCCGTTATTGTAAATTAGACCTTCTGGAGACAGACTTTTTCCTCAGTTATTAAAAAAAGATGGTCAAATAAGTGTTCGAAAGCACAGCATCGACCACGGCATATGGAGCTTTCTCAAAGAATGGGTATTAGAAAGGTCCTGCCTGCGTCAAATTTTACGTATTGAATTATTCATGAGCAAATGGCAGAGCGTACAATACATGTAAATTAACCTTTCCATGTGTCCCATCACTGAAAAATAAGTGAAAATTGGCCAGACAAAATCTATCACGAGATTTAAAAAGGCACATGATGTTTTATTTCATTCATGTGCAATTATTTATCCAAAGACAAAACAAAAGTGGGCATTAACATACTTCAGTTTATTAATTATTATGGTAATACGGTTAATAGAACTTGCGACTGTGACAAATGTGTATTTACGAACATCAGTACCAAATAAATAACTTAATTTAGATTCCTGTCGTAAAATGCTTTGACTAATAATAATAATAATAATAATAATAATAATAATAATAATAATACCATATTTATGTTCTTTCATCGGTTTCAGTAACACTTAATAGTATGCACGATTACTGCCATTACTCCCACAGCTCTTGCTGACTCTGCGTGATATGGTAATATAATACTAGTAAAATAATATATTGGACGAACCATTACAAGTACATTAAAAACGTATGAAATGATAATATTCAAAAAGAATGTTTTCTTTGGAGCTATGACACCAGAACATCGAAACTCCCTGAAATGTGGAAATTTTATTTACATAGTTCATCTTATTTATTCTTATTTATTATAATCTTCACCTGACCTCCACCTTCACCTAGACACACCCAGCCCACGGTGTGATATTGGTTTTATTCATCGTGACAGGATTTCAACTGTGCATAATGTTGAATCTGCAATAGAACATGTTTTAGTCAAATATATTTCAAACCATGACATCATGCTTTCATCATATTTCCATGAACTATGAAAATCGTATAATAATTGAATAGCTAATACCATAACCTCTTCGTAGACTACAATATAACATTGTACAAGTCGAGATCTAGTGCCAGTTGGATATTAATATGTATTACATTTAGATAGAATAAACAATGACCTTGACCTGCTCTTGATGTAGTCACTAATAATCGAACACCACCAACCAAAATTGATCAATTTGGTCTTCAAAGTATTATACTAAGCTTGGTGCTTGAATCCGCCGTGTCACGATCGCGTCTGAATTTGACGCTATACCACCGGATTATGGTATAATTTGCCGAATCCAAAATGCATGAAATAGGTAAACCAAGTCACAATGAAATTCACCAACTGTTCGAGCAATTACAATTTAATTGGATTTATTGTTTTTTCTTAGTTCTTCTTCCATGATCATTTTTGAAAACAAGATTTGGTAACCCAATTCAATTTGATGAATGGGGTTTCCAAGGTAGAGAGCCACACCTAATTATACAAAAATCGTTACTACTATAAGAATGTTCTTATTACAACTTCATGTATTTCATTTTAAATTCTCATTGCATACAAATGCATTGATTATATACACTCTTATGCACGCATGCTCACACACACACACCGGTTGCAACAATAATTTGATCAAGGTATGTGGTTTATCGCAAATTTTAAACAAATAATGGGTAATACGAGTTAATCACTTAAATGTGACGTGAAATGTAAGCAGTGTTAAATTATACACAAATGAATAGCCTCTGGTTTTGGGAGAGATGAAACTATATATTATCTATATACAAAAACAAGTGCGAACTTTATAATGTGGCTTTCGAAATGAAATATTTTGTTCAGCTAGTATCCTATGACATTGACGTAGTGGGGATAGTGTGACTTGATTGTAAACTGATAAGATGTGATTTGTGAATTGATCCGAATGAATTGTAATTGAACATTTTAATAAACTGCTCATCTTGGTACATATGTCGGAAAACCAAACACAGATATTGATCAGATATTGCATTGTATTTTATAGGTTTTACACTGTAGCTTAGTGCTGATCACGTTTTAATTATATTGGAATAATGATCTAAGTATACTACAGTAATGTTGATTAGTTTGAAAACGTCGCGTGCCACAAATGTACATGTATATAATGATAATTATAATTTACCGGTGCGCTTGACTTCAATAGTAGGAATCACTACAAAATAAGTATTGATAAATTAAGAAATAGGTGCACGGCGGATTAAACTCTCAATACCCGCAAATTTTCTTTTATTTGTATGTTCCCCCTCGCATGAAAGCAGATTGCAGTTCAGATGTCGTATCTTATACTTACAAATAACATGTACATATTAATATTTGCAAATATTATGTAAAATGTTTGTCAATGTATGTTATACATAATATAGTGTTTGTACAGTGGTCGACTGCATACAATTAAAATATTAAGTATTGTGTGTTACACATAAGTGTATTTAACTTTTATCTATAATTATGCGTCTATATACCTTTCTGTTTGTCCTCCAAGTTGTATTATTTGCGAAACTTATTTGACATCCTTTACATCGAGCCATGAACCAAAACAGTAGTCACGGTGTTTGTGAGATATACGCTTCGGAGCTGGTCGCCCAGCAGCTAAGTTATTTGATACCCTGATATAACCTAGGTTTTTATCAAGCAACACGATTTCGAATTCTGCTTCCGAGCACGCTGGCAAAATTAGCCTCGAAGGTACGACATATTTAGAAGGAAAGATCTAGAAATGCGCAAGAACTGAAAAAGATGTGAAAATTGATCGTTGTATCGTGTGAATATTCTAAATGTTGATTAAGTAGCATTATTATATGGCACCATCAACTCATGATATGAACAAACAAAATTATACGTAGTGTAAGAAGTATAAGTAATTTAATGCCTGTGATTCTTTTCCTATAATATATGTATCAATTCACACCTTTAGATACTTTTCAACGTGTAAACTTTTTTTGGTTTAAATACAGTTCAATATACAACTATTTGCTGTCTCCAACTCTTCTCAAAACACCCAGAATTAAATCTTTGTTCATGAACAAATCAAATACACTGTTACAGCAATTATATACCACGATATTATTTATATACATACCATAGCCCAACCGGCATAAACGTGTGTCTGAATTACTGTTGTTGGGAATATGGTCCATTCACTCTAGTTGACCCGCTGTTTTCAACTGCATTTATATTCTTGCAGCCAAATATCAGACGTACTCCGTTTTGAAACTGTTTGTATTTCAGTGCGTAAATGAATGGGTTAACAGATGAGTTGACGTATACCGAGATGACGGATGCGTGATACAGCGTACTGCCGAAGTCGAGCTTAAAACCCAAACAAAATGAAAGAAACATGATTTGATTGGGCCCCCAACACAATGCGAAGGCCACAAAAACCATTACAAGCATTTTAAGAACATTTCTACTGGCTCGTTTCAATGAACTGTCAGCTTTCAATTGACTGTCCTGTTCGTGGTCACCCACTTGTACATCAGCGCCCGACTTCTTTCTCAGGGCCATGATGCACCGTGTATATGCCACTGACATCACCAGCAATGGAACGATGAATTGCGCAATAACATTGGTGATGCCAACGAATCGTCCAAACTCTGCGTTGAACCATATCTTTATCGGGAAGCAAAGTCCGCGGTCAAAATACTGTACATATATGTTGAAACTCTTAAAGGCAAGAGCACATAGCCATTCGGTAATAAGGATGACAATTACTCGCTTGACGGTAAACAGATTAGTGTGGTGAAGCGGGTGTATAATTGCAGAGTAGCGCTCAAGTGTGATAACCACCAAGTTCGTCGAAGATACAAAACTGGTTGACCAAAACAAATAGCCAGACTTCCAAACACGACATATAATTTCACCACCAATAGAATTCGAAGTGTAGTTGAATTGTGGTCCCAAATAGGCCAACACAGCGATCGCCGAGCTAGTGAGGTCGATGATAGCTTGATGGACTATCAGGATGTTGGTCAATGTCCGTAGATGCCTTACTCGTAGAAATACAACGCAGACCAGTAGGTTGCCAAGTAAACCGAGTATGCCAATCAGTCCAAATACAATATTCAGCAATGGCAACTGTTCAGAACTCGGAATGGTAAATGTGGCGTTGTGTGTTGCGTTGTTTTGTGACATTTCAAGAACGCAGAACAAGACTCTGTAAATAACAAATCGCGTATATTATTCAATTATATACAACGTGCGCAATTTTCTACCTTAATAATATCCACATGCAAAAATTTAAAATTATTCAATTGCCGGAAACTCAAACAGGCGTGTCTACAAAACTATGTAAACAAATTATACTAATATCGAATGCTGTACACAGGAGACTGGGAAACTGCAGAAAAGCCTAACATAAATAAAAATGAATAAAAACTGAATAGTTTAAACAATTAACACTTTTTTGCGCTAGTTTCCGCCAAAGTTATGTCATCCCGAGATTATACATACTTCAGAGGGGATGGGGGGTTAAATATTAATGGCTTCAATAGTATCTTTCTGACTAACTTGGCATATGTAATGAGAAACTTAAAATAATTCGGTAAGTTGTTAAACGAATACTGAAGAAAGCAACGTGTTTAACCCATTAAATCGTTTCTAGAAAACTGTTGGCTCCCGGCATTTGCATTGTGAAACAGATTTGTTGAAAGGAATCATGATCTTGTAGACACGGTTGTTAAGTTTCGCAGTGATCTCTGAACGCCACTATGTCATTCAATTGATTTAAACCTTACAACGAGTTTCTCCGATTTGATATATGCCTACCGACAGTCGGCAAGTCTTTAATATGTTGGTCGGCAATCCATCTGAGCATTTGCTTTTCTTGGAAAGGTCTAAAGGTTGCTGCTCACGTCAGCAAATCGCACGTTCGGGATCAATGAAGTAAATTCTTTAAATGCGATAGAATAATTGAAAAGCTTATTTCTTTTAGTGATACTATAGTTTGACACAGGCAGAATAAATACAGTGAATATTTGTCACTAAATATGTTGTATGACAAGCAATATTGTGTATGTTACAATTCACATGATTATGCATGAAGGGTATTGATAAGTGTATTAGTATCGCTGTGGTTTTTAAACGACTTGCCTCAATTATGAAGAAACCGTTACTTGAATTACAATTATTTTGTAGTATTGTTTTTACGTGAGAACCATAGCGATATTATTTTATCGCAGAATAGCTTATTCATTTAAACGCGCTGTATAGAACTGATGGGCGAATATGGGCGAAGTGCATGGCAAAATTGATAAAAATTCTAGTATATTTCAACTAATGTGCAAGAAAACTAACAATACATTACGACATGTACGCAAAAGAATAACGCGCAAAAGTAACAATAATATTAACGTTTGGGAATTATTAATTCATTATATTTCTTGTACCAGATTTCTCTGGTATGACCAGTTACTCTTATCCCTACAATCATTATTAACATTTATGCAGTAAGACATTTATAAAATTAGTTAGTTAGTCTGTTATGATTAAGAATGTATATATACTTATAAATTGCCATATACGTACATCATCAATTAAATAAAATTATCTCTTTCTCATATGTGATGAGAAAAATGAATAAGCACATCATTTTGGATTATTGTACCTCATGACCATGACAGCCAATCAGATTCGCGTATTGCAGGTAGATATATTCGTGTGCAATCTCCTTCCGTTATACGCAATAGTACTTCTGCCCCAGACAGCCTTCAATTTTGTGGTCAATCACCTCACTACGCAAGGCCAGTTTTCCGCGGTTGTTTCATTTGAAACCGAACTACAAGGAGTTAAAAAAAATCGAATGTGACATCTGAACTATTTATTAGTGTCAGACATCAGTAAAAACGTAAATACGAACCGTTTTATAGCGGACTATGTTTTGCAAGGTAATGTTATTGTACTGAAATGGCGCGCGTGATACGCTACAAATGGGAAGAAAAAACGTTTTGTTAACTTATATAGTTGGGAAAGAAGCATTAAAGACTAATTTCACTGAAAGGAGTTTCCTAACATTTCTGTTTATTTTGTATTCTGGTGAATATTTCATTACCATTTCCGGCTTGAACGGGTTCGAATTCCCGCGTCTAACAGCCATAGAACACAACGGTTTTAGTAAGTTTAGTAAGTAATTTATTGTACAATCTAATTGTTTGGCATCTAGGAAAAGATTGAAATTTTCCATCGCAAGTCATGTGTATTTTAATCTAATTAACTGCAAATTTTATTCGGAATTTGGGCGTACAACGTCTTATTAAAGTGTTTAAAGTAACGAAGTAACTTTCGCAAAACTTTGTTAACCGAAAGGATCTTGTAGTTCGAGCATATTCGAATATGCAAATGAGTTCCATGCAAAGCTGCTTTGTGCAGTGATGATAAGTAACGCGCATCGAACTGTGCGGAGTTCGATTCGTGTGTCGACCTGCTGCCATATTCGTATGTCTACGTCCATCCGGGTAACTCATTCCCTGAAGTTACCTGATTTACGCTAATAACTTGTCAAGAGAACACGATACGCGGCAATATTCATGAACTGATTAGTTTTCCAGGTTTGCGTTTAAGAGAAACTAGGATTTTGTATCGATTTCGCGTGATTTTTACTCGCGCTCGCCGTGCGTTTCGCCAGCGCGCTCAGCTACGAAACATTGAATTGTGCAGTTCGTCCACCTACAAATTCTGAGAGTGGTGGACTTTGGCTTGTGAGTGTATATCACATATTTTGTACAGTGTATTTCTTTGCCAGGCTATAACTGCTTAAACTAGGTTTAACAATATAACCATGAAAGTAAAAAGACAGAATTCAATCACTAATCTTGAACTCTTTCAACTTGTATATTTGTGTTCATACATGCGTTCAACTCAACAAGCATGACCTGGAAGGTTGTCATGATTGAGTGCCACAGTTTCTGTTTTAAGATTTATTCGGTATTATATTATTCGCCTCGGTTGACAGTGAGGTATTCGGGTCGCTAAAACTGTCCATCTCTGTTAGGGTGAACATTTGTATATTTGTACAAATCTTCTATGATTTGTTCGAAATACATTTAATGTGTTAATGACGCTTGCTTACAACATGAACACTCAAAGAATCTGGCTTTGTTATTTCAGAAAGTGATGTCACGAAAGTGTACTATGATAAGTCTAATTAATACTAGGTGTTTGTAGCGTATTGATCGAAATAATTATTCGCTTTCATAACATTTACGATGAACGAAGACCACATTCCACACAAATATGCCCATCATGTAGATGGGTTATATGTATTCACTGATAGTTTGCATAATCATCATTATAAAGTGTAAAATATTGTTGTACATGTCGCACTACATATTATCAGGGTGAACAATGTAACAATGTATTATCTTTTAATTTTAACTTCCTCAAATAAACGTTTCATGGAGTCTGTTTTTTTGTGAGACAAAATAAAAGCGACAGAGTGGTAAGCATGTCATAGTCAGCCATGCGTAGAACGTTCACCAGCAATTTCTTTGTGGGAACACGCTGACAAGTAATTTTCACAGAGGGATTGTTGTTTATTTAGGGAAGCCACTGGACATAGCTGAGTCACACACATTCTTGACTGAAAGCTCGTGTATTGAACTCAATCACTGCCCAGTTATCTGATAACAGAGCTGCACGTGGTGTTGATTTAATGGGATTACGGCTTTTCAATAGCACATTGAACATTCAATTACTAGAATGGGCCCTTTGGTGCTATTACTTTGGCTTTTTTAAACTGCAATTTCTTTCTCAAATAAAATTATTTGAATAAGACGATAGTCGTGCCAAATTTATTACTCAGTAGAGCAGGAATCATGCTGAGCTTATTTAAGTTTAATGAGACCAATTTTGTGTTTTCTTAAGTAGTTTGAAAAAAAAAATAACATTATAAATTGTTCGGTTGTTACGATGTCTGTAATTCTGTATCGTAATGATGTATATAATTCTGCAAGTAATATCAGTGATGCGATTGCCAAA